AATGAAATGATTAGAATGGCCAAACCAGAGCACAGTAGCGCCACCTGGAATTTAAACAGTGAGTGGAAAAGAAGGTGCAAAATAAACAATATCACAGATCGTGCTAACAATTAAACGTGCCAAACCACAGGTTTCAGTGTCAGAGACAAGGCAGATACAGGATACACTGTAAACACAATAACTATAATGTAGGGCACACATATCGCAATATACACAATCTGATGTGTTTTGAAGCGTGTTGGCAAAATGTCTACTATGACAAAATACCAGTTAATGCAAAACATTAAAATTAATCAGATATTATTTTCAAGCAGATTTTTGATATTTGAATTAGATGTTGATCAAACAGAATTCCCACACAAGCACTTAAAATTAATCTTTTCCTTAATAATTAGTAAAAAAAAGTATTAAGCAGGAAAATATGAACTGTTCACAAGCAGAGAAAGGCTAGTTCACAAAACAAACCGTGCCTGAACAGAACTTGTAAACAGTTTTGATGTAAAATATTAAGTTTTAATTCTCAGCTTCAAAATACACATTCATACACATTTATGCAGTAGAAGATGTACAGTTTCTTTGTCAGTATGAAAACTCAGAAATCTCTAAATAATTGAATAATCAAATCATTTAAATAATTGAAATGAAAACCTATTGATTTTTGTTCTTCAGACTACAGGAAAGGCTATGAATGTTGTTTTGTTTTCATGAAAATACAGTTGGAAACTAAGGAAACTCCAATATTTCTATTATATACGAAAACAACACTCATACTTGCCAACTCTCCCTATTTAGGGGGGAGACTCACAATTTTTTACCCCTAAATTTTGCATTTTTCAACCAGCAAATTTGCTTAACTATTCCTATATTCTAAATCCAACAATTTCATTTGAAAGATCAACTCAAAATATGTCATTTAAAGGGTTATTTTGTTTCTAGTAGGTATATACACACATTGCATTTCAGCATCTCCCCCATAGAAACTTCAAAAAGTTGGCAGGTATGCAAACTTCACACACAACACAAAATTACAAACACAAGACAGCACATCTCTACTACAGAGTAATGTCCAAGTAAGAAACTCGGGAAAGTCCATCACCATTAGATCAAACATGCCAAGTTGACTTCCTTTTACAAATGTTGTAAACAAGAATTCCACAGGAGTGGATGTGTCGCCTGCTCAGCGCTTTTAGTGAGAAAATGTTTTGGCCTGAGTTATAGGGTAAACAAGCAAAAATTAACGCCAAAAAACGATGAACTGTGCGTTGCTGTGTCAAGTGTGATATATACCAAAACGCAGAAAGTTGCAACTCGACAGAAAAAACCCATAATATATGTTGAACATTATTGCTATAGCATTACCCTATAAAATTTGAAAGGAATTGATTAAAAAATAAAATGAATTCTTGCATTTACTACACAATGCCCTAATTTGGCAATAAAAGGGGCATAACTCCACAACAAAATGCACGTAATTTTCTGTAATGCGAACTGGTCCGAGCTATTTTGGTGTGCAATATGTGTACCAAGTTTGACTTAAATCAACCCAAGGGAACTCAAGTTATCTCACGAAACCTTTGTTTCAGACGAATCAACCGCCGACAAAGTAATAACTATGTGTGGCCTCACGTTGCAGGCTACACACAAATATTACTGTGACATATTCTTCACACTTAGTACACCTAAAAACAGAAAGAAAAAAAATTCCCAATGTACACACCTAGCAATTTATCAGTCAAATGTCTGTCTGCTGGATAACTAAACTGCTCGGTAGATAAGTAGACGTAAAACCGTCAAAAAAATAAACATAACTTATAAGCTTAGGTCTGAGTGGTACCAGTATACATGTGTGGCATACAGCATTTGTGGGTAAAGTCAGTGTTAGGCCCATAAGTTTTAAAAAGCCATAGGAAAACATTTCTACGAGGCGAAAATCTTGAAAAAAAATAAAGTTTGAAGATGAGGACAAATTAAGTATTGGAACCATTGGATTCTAAAGATCAGAAGAAGTAATGTTACAGGCTGATTCCCTGTTAGATATACAGAAGTCAGCAAATCAAATTGGCAGAGTTGGTACACATTACTTGTCAGTATGTTTTTGAGGCAAAACTTGGTGGACGGTAGATGATACAGCTGGAAACCAAGGCTTATCTTCATAAATTTGGTAAGGCACCTCTTTGTCTCATTTTGGGAAGAAAATATACGTTTATATGAAATAGTTTCAATTGGGAATTGGGCCCATTATCAGCCCAAAAAAGTCCCCACGAAAAGCCTGGTATCTTAGTTTATTTTCTGATCACACTTTTTATTTATTAAGTGTGTTCTGTGTTGGGGGAGGGGTATCTTTTCTTCCATCACATAGAGGTGGGAGAGGTGGGAGTGGGTCAGTAATTTTACTGTGCAGTCTCACTCTTGAATAAAGGGAGGTAATTTACTATTTTTCACACTGTTAGTGTTAAATGAGTGTATTATTGATACAGTCTATATATTAAGGTACAGCATGCATTTAGGTCATTATTAAACATTACTGTCTAGCACCAAGCCGAAAATAATACCAACACCACTGTTACCACTTACATGTATTCATCCCTGTCTATAGTTGTTATTGTGAAGACTAACACAGACTTATAACAGCACCATTATCAACGTATAAATGTGTTAATTGTTAACTTTCTAAAGGTGTGAATGCCAAGTTTTATGTTCTACAGGTGTGAATGCCAAGTTTTATGTTCTACAGGTGTGAATGCCAAGTTTTATGTTCTACAGGTGTGAATGCCAAGTTTTATGTTCTACAGGTGTGAATGCCAAGTTTTATGTTCTACAGGTGTGAATGCCAAGTTTTATGTTCTACAGGTGTGAATGCCAAGTTTTATGTTCTACAGGTGTGAATGCCAAGTTTTATGTTCTACAGGTGTGAATGCCAAGTTTTATGTTCTACAGGTGTGAATGCCAAGTTTTATGTTCTACAGGTGTGAATGCCAAGTTTTATGTTCTACAGGTGTGAATGCCAAGTTTTATGTTCTACAGGTGTGAATGCCAAGTTTTATGTTCTACAGGTGTGAATGCCAAGTTTTATGTTCTACAGGTGTGAATGCCAAGTTTTATGTTCTACAGGTGTGAATGCCAAGTTTTATGTTCTACAGGTGTGAATGCCAAGTTTTATGTTCTACAGGTGTGAATGCCAAGTTTTATGTTCTACAGGTGTGAATGCCAAGTTTTATGTTCTACAGGTGTGAATGCCAAGTTTTATGTTCTACAGGTGTGAATGCCAAGTTTTATGTTCTACAGGTGTGAATGCCAAGTTTTATGTTCTACAGGTGTGAATGCCAAGTTTTATGTTCTACAGGTGTGAATGCCAAGTTTTATGTTCTACAGGTGTGAATGCCAAGTTTTATGTTCTACAGGTGTGAATGCCAAGTTTTATGTTCTACAGGTGTGAATGCCAAGTTTTATGTTCTACAGGTGTGAATGCCAAGTTTTATGTTCTACAGGTGTGAATGCCAAGTTTTATGTTCTACAGGTGTGAATGCCAAGTTTTATGTTCTACAGGTGTGAATGCCAAGTTTTATGTTCTACAGGTGTGAATGCCAAGTTTTATGTTCTACAGGTGTGAATGCCAAGTTTTATGTTCTACAGGTGTGAATGCCAAGTTTTATGTTCTACAGGTGTGAATGCCAAGTTTTATGTTCTACAGGTGTGAATGCCAAGTTTTATGTTCTACAGGTGTGAATGCCAAGTTTTATGTTCTACAGGTGTGAATGCCAAGTTTTATGTTCTACAGGTGTGAATGCCAAGTTTTATGTTCTACAGGTGTGAATGCCAAGTTTTATGTTCTACAGGTGTGAATGCCAAGTTTTATGTTCTACAGGTGTGAATGCCAAGTTTTATGTTCTACAGGTGTGAATGCCAAGTTTTATGTTCTACAGGTGTGAATGCCAAGTTTTATGTTCTACAGGTGTGAATGCCAAGTTTTATGTTCTACAGGTGTGAATGCCAAGTTTTATGTTCTACAGGTGTGAATGCCAAGTTTTATGTTCTACAGGTGTGAATGCCAAGTTTTATGTTCTACAGGTGTGAATGCCAAGTTTTATGTTCTACAGGTGTGAATGCCAAGTTTTATGTTCTACAGGTGTGAATGCCAAGTTTTATGTTCTACAGGTGTGAATGCCAAGTTTTATGTTCTACAGGTGTGAATGCCAAGTTTTATGTTCTACAGGTGTGAATGCCAAGTTTTATGTTCTACAGGTGTGAATGCCAAGTTTTATGTTCTACAGGTGTGAATGCCAAGTTTTATGTTCTACAGGTGTGAATGCCAAGTTTTATGTTCAACAGGTGTGAATGCCAAGTTTTATATTCTACAGGTGTGAATGCCAAGTTTTATGTTCTAAAGGTGTGAATGCCAAGTTTTATATTCTACAGGTGTGAATGCCAAGTTTTATGTTCTACAGGTGTGAGTGCAAGCATACACATACCAAACACCAATATTTCTTAATGCTATTAACACCACACAAACAGCAAAACCATTGCAAAAAGATCTAATATGTGTTAAGTAAGGACAAGTTAAGGAGCATTTCAACTAACACATCTAGTCCAACATTCTTGCATCTAATTCTATGGTTATACAAGTATTTAAAAATGTGAAGTTTGCATCAATAAAATCAACAATATAGAAAGTTAAAATATTGGTTCTTATTACTTGTAACCAAAATTTTATATTTAACCTGCAGGATTAATAAAATAAGACTTCGCAATATTTAAAAAGATTTTCCTTAATACACATGCCCTAGACAGGATGTTGATATGAAATTTAGTTATTTCTAATTCAACACGAACATTGAAACATTCTTTGTTTTTATTTCATCTTTCAGAAATTCAATTCATTCTTAATTTAGATTGTATTTAAGATTATTGCTATAAGAAATTTGGACTTGAGCAACCTAGTTGTGCCTCTAAGGTGCAGATACACAAAAACCCTGGCGTGTCAACACACAGACTAAAAATACCTCCATTTGTTCGCTGGGGATGAGAAACACGCGCACACTGATAGCGTCCTGCCTCCAGCTACTCTCTGTCCAGGTGGAATACTCGCCGGAATGCCAGTCATAATCTGATTGCAAAAATAGTGAAAAAAAGACATAGGGTACATTGAAATACAGACTTAGTTCATGTTAATCATAGGGAACATTGAAATAATAGAGACTTAGTTCATGTAAATCATAGGGTACATTCGCATATCTGGTTGAAACAGTTGAACCGGTTGAACCTGTAACGAAAACGACGGGTACAGATCTGTACCGAGGCTGACCTAAGGAAAATTCGGCACGTGTAGATTGAGGGGTCCAGACGTACCTGACCGAAACTAAAATGCTGACTATCGCTTGTTTGCGTTCTTTCTTTCCAACATAATGTCAAGATACATGTAGTTTTTAAGATACATTTTGTAATTCAGTGGACGCATGAAGAAAGGGCATAATATTCTTGATACATTGTTTTTTATTCTCCAAAACTGTGCATTTTCAGCTCTGCTTATAGAATGGTCCAAGTGCGTTCGTTTATCGTAGAAAATTTCTGCGCCACACGTACCGTTTCAACCGGGATATTTCAGCTAATTACAAGGTTAAAGTCTGAGACATGGTTATAATGTCTGCAATATCGTTATAACTTCTCTGCCCACATATATATTTTTTACAAATTATTACAACAGCATATTTTATATAAGTAACTTGTGTTTGTTTATATATTTTTTATCGTATTTTTGTTTGATGGTGACTTTTTATCTCTGTTACGGTATATGTTGTGATAAGTAAATTTTCGTTTTCCTGTCTTGACAAAGGGAAGATTGCCCTGAATGTCATTTATTACTTCTTTGCCCATATATGTATTTATTAATAATAAGTAATCCCCATCCAACCCAGATTTGTTTGTAGGGATCCAGTGGCCATGTTGGACCATTTGGTTTGGTTTGTTTGTGTTTTACATTCTATAAACAGCTATGGTTATTTAAGGACGTGCCAGGTTTTGGCCGTGGAGGCAAGCCAGCGTTCCCAGAGATAAACCACTGACCTACTGCCTATACCTGGCGACTGCCCCACGTAGGCCTAGAACCCAGTGGTGGAGGGCTAATGGTAGCAGAATGTCAGAATGTCGGACCATACTGTCGTCATTACTTACGAGACCCAAATATATAATGCTTTTTAACTATATATCTGATCAAATCATGCATCTGAATGTAACATTGTAACAGAGATTTTGTTTTGTTTTGGTTGTTGATATATAGAAGACAATCTTATTTGGTAAAAAAAAATAGTCTTAAGGGAGTTATCTCCCTTACACTGATACCAGAGTACTTTATTATTAAACTCATTCACTCCTAAAATTTCATAATGAACTTTTCCAATCTTTGAATTGGAAGAATTCAAATGTGTCTTCAGGGGTGAATGAGTTAATAATTTAAATGTCCACAACATGTACCTTGTACTTGGGTTAAATTGAGATGGGCGTTTCCAATGACAGCGAACATAACAAAGAGAGGAGTCATGCAATCATTTCAAAAGAAATGGATCAAACACAAAATCACTACTTCGTAATAATAGATTTATCACTTATAGTCTAGATGTGAGTATGGGGAGTGGTGTCTAAGGAAGGCACTCGTGATTGACAACATATCGGTAATGGGTCTAAAACAGCTGTGTCCCTCTCGCTCCTCTTCATTGATTTGTGGAATAGTACTTGATTAAATTGTGTTAATCTCCCCTTCCTGCTCATCTAACAAACCTGTGATGTCAAAGGCCGGAGATTTGGCTGAGGTCAGACTAACTGTGCTCCGTATACACGACCCTTCACGGTTCGTACTGCCCGGCTCTAGCGCACCTTGCATCCATGTGTACCCATACACCTGTAATGAATTCATGCGTATTCATAAATGATGAAGCAAACATACATAGATTTATTCTGACAAAATTAGTATTTGACAATCCATCGACAGTCGTCTCTGAAATAAATGATGTAATGTATTTGTGTGTACTTGTATGCCAGTGATGTAATGTAATTGTGTGTACTTGTATGCCAGTGATGTAATGTATCTGTGTGTAATTGTATGCCAGTGATGTAATGTAATTGTGTGTACTTGTATGCCAGTGATGTAATTTATTTGCGTGTTATTGTATGCCAGTAATGTAGTGTAATTGTGTGTACTTGTATGCCAGAGATGTAATGTATTTATGTGTACTTGTATGCCAGTGATGTAATGTATTTGTGTGTAATTGTATGCCAGTGATGTAATGTAATTGTGTGTTCTTGTATGCCAGTGATGTAATGTAATTGTGTGTACTTGTATGCCAGTGATGTAATGTAATTGTGTTTACTTGTATGCCAGTGATGTAATGTATCTGTGTGTACTTGTATGCCAGTGATGTAATGTATTTGTGTGTACTTGTATGCCAGTGATGTAATGTAATTTTGTGTACTTGTATGCCAGTGATGTAATGTATCTGTGTGTACTTGTATGCCAGTGATGTAATGTAATTGTGTGTACTTGGATGCCAGGGATGTAATGTAATTGTGTGTACTTGTATGCCAGTGATGTAATGTAATTGTATGTACTTGTATGCCAGTGATGTAATGTAATTTTGTGTACTTGTATGCCAGTGATGTAATGTATCTGTGTGTACTTGTATGCCAGTGATGTAATGTAATTGTATGTACTTGTATGCCAGTGATGTAATGTATTTGTGCGTACCTGTATGCCAGTGATGTAATGTAATTGTGTTTACTTGTATGCCAGTGATGTAATGTATTTGTGTGTACCTGTGCATTCAGTATTAAAAGATTACGAGATAATGAGAAATCTGAAGAATGTTGTTTATAATGTTACAAAAATAGTGACACATTGATTATAAGTATCTGGGTCCACTTGTATAAACCAATTCAACTCCTGAGATTTCCTCAAGTCTAAGATTTCCCATAGACAATACATTGCTTGAGATGTTCCTTAACTTTGAGATGTTTTATACAAGTGGGCCCTGGATTTTTCAAAAACATAAATCTGTCTCTTATATTCATTAAATACTGAACCCAAATAGCAAATGGCAAATATAGCCCATCTAGCCTGGCCCTGTCAAATATTCACCTTTTGCTGATAAAATCCATGTGCACCTAGTGTTAATTCACCAGTCCACATGTAAATACTATACATTGTATGTTATGTACTACTAATTCCCAATCAGGTTAACATACAAACCAACCTGTTGTCTAAAGTTCATCTGTTACTCAACAAATGTCAAGTCAATTGTACTGATGAACATTTTGTTTCAAAAGTCATCAAATTTAAAAGGATCATGATGGAGGTCATGTTATTATTCTAACCAATCGAAATGAAGAAACAGATAAACTCATTCATCCCTGAAGACACATTTGAATTCCTCCAATTCAAAGATTGGAATAGTTCATTACAAAATTCGGGGGTGAATGAGTTCAGTTACAAAATGGCTTTACCTTGTATTTAGCAGGAGCGTTACAGTTGCTCTCGGTGACATTCTCCTGCTTATCGCCCGTGTAGAGACTTAGTAGACGTTTTGTTAGACTAGTCACATGATTATCCGTGTTCGTCACGCCAACATAGAAGGGGTACGGGGTAGAACTCTCCACTGAAACAATGACAAAACAATGGTAACGTTATTCTTAAATTATTCATTACTATTATTACAACGAAGTGCCCACATAGAAGGGGTACAGGGTAGATCTCTCACTGAAACAACACAGTTTTAACATTATTCTTTAATTATTCATTATTTTATATTATTTCTAAGTGCCCACGTGCACGTAGAAGGGGTACAGGGTAGATCACATTATTCTTTAATTAGTCATCATTTTATATGATTTCTAAGTTGTAGAAGGGGTATCGTATAGGGTGGAAGTCTCCACTGGAGCAACGTCAAACAATGTTAATATTATTCTTTAATTATTCATTATTTAGTATCTTGACTATGTTGGGTTTTCTTCAGACAATAATGTTTATTTCACTCATTAATAGGGAATGAAAAGTTATCTTTTTAATAAACTGCAGTACACTAATGGTGTGAAATCCTGGTTTGATATTTGATCTTACTGTTTGTATAAATAACAAAGAAGTTAAGATTGAACTGCCAGATAACATTGATAGACATTGACCAACAAGTCACTGATACGTTTAACCCTTTCTCTACTGTAGACCATAATGGACTCATCCAGATCAATGCATGGAAGAGTCTACTAAAGTTACATAGGGGTGAAAGGGTTAAAGACAGAAGGAGAGAACAATTCCAGACTTGTATTAGTATTACAAAATATTGATATATTTCTGCTTCAATCTATTGAATACACCACAGACTACAGTGATATATATATAATGAGTCCAGGACATGACAAGGAACACTGCCTATATAGTGAGTCAAGGTTATATGTATGAGACATGACAAGGAACACTGCCTATATAATGAGTTTCAGGTTATATGTATGAGACATGACAAGGAACACTACCTACATAATGAGTTCAGGTTATCTTTGTCGATGATTTCCTGGAAAAGGTCACAGCTTTTGTTGGTCAGGAAACAGTACAGCATGTGATTCACCTGTGGAGGAAAAAATCACAAAATATAAAACATGAAAGTTTTAACAGGAGTATTAGACAATATTATATAACCCCACAGCATTTAGAAGGCATTCATGTAGGCTATGGATGCCATGACTCATGTTTGGACATCATGATGTCGTACTTGTTATTTTGGATATCACTGACCCTTTTTAGACTCTATTCATTAAAAACACATTTGCAATGCATATACTTATTCTAGCCTTTTCAGCATGTTTTAGTCGATATCAAAATTGGAATGCCCTTTTTATGTAAAATTATAGACAATAGGCCCATGGGCCTTAACGGTCACCTGAGTCCTACAGTATTTATATTTGTTGTTGAAATATGTACCAATTTGAGTAAAAAATAGTTAAGTAAAACGTTAACTTAAGTTTGTCAGGACCATGAGCTGATCATTCCTAGACCGAGTTTCAATTAAATCAGCCTATTAGAACTTGATTTTAAGTTTTAATTAGTCTTTTTTCAAAATGGCGGCCGTGACATCATGGCCATATTTGATTTTTGGTCAGCACGAAAAATAACAACACTTTGTCGGGACCATGAGTCGATCATTCCTACCAAGTTTCAGTTAAATCGGCTCTGTAGAACTAGACTTTAAGTTTGAAATAGTTTTTCAAAATGGCGGCCATGGCGGCCATATTGGATTTATGATCGACCCGAAAAATAACATCACTTGGTCAGGGAGATGTCAGTAATATTCCCATGAAGTATCAATGATATTCCTTTGCCAATATTTCAGCTTACGTTGAAAATGTAAAATGTTAACAGACGGCGGACGACAACGGATAGCAATAGGTCACTTGAGCTAAAAGCTCAGGTGACCTAAAAATGGAATAAAAGGCCCAGGACACAATAAATAAATGATTTACATTATGTATATAAATAAATGATATCAAACAACATTTCTTTTAACTAGCAGCTCTCATAATGTCTACTTAACCATTGGTATGCAATTCCATCTTGATGGCCAATATGCCAATCAAATGTGTTGTTACAATACAGCAAATCAACTTTGTTGTTAATACAGCCAATCAAATATCTTGTTACATACAGCCAATCAACTTTGTTGTTAATACAGCCAATCAAATAACTTGTTACATACAGCTAATCAACTTTGTTGTTAATACAGCCAATCAACTTTGTTGTTGAAACAGCAAATTAAAAGTCTTGTTACAAACAGCCAATCAAATATCTTGTTACATATAGCAAATCAACTTTGTTGTTAATACAGCCAATCAAATATCTTGTTACATACAGCCAATCACATGATGTTTTACATACTTTTGTTACATCAGCGTTGATGTCAGTATCGTTTTCGCCCGTTGCCAGGAGGAAGAGTGACCTTGCCAGAGTGGTGGCGACCTTAGTGAGCTGTTTGGCCTGCTCTGTGATTGTATCATAATCTGTGGAGTTAGCCTTGATCGTCACTGGACGGTCAAATCTACTGTTGTAGTACCTACAGCACAGGGTCATGAGTCAATTCAGCTTTATATTTAGATACAGTAAATTAAATACAAGTTGTAAACACAGTGTTCATCTGTAAGAAATCCACACAAACCTTGGAGATGTACAACTGTTGGTGTTTTTTTTACTTTGTTTTATATTTTTGATAACAAGCTGATCATGAAGTATTTATTATAATACTTATTGAACTGACCTTCCAATTACAGATAAATAACATAATTATACTGCACAATTAATTAAAACTTAACAACACCCTAATTACATGTAGTATATATCTGAGTCATTTTACTGAACCAAATCTGTTAGTATTTATAAGTACCTTACAGTCGAATAGGTAATAAAATAACATAGAGATGTACAACTGTTAGAAAATGAGAACGTTAAAGTTTTACACTTTAAGATAAATGTAATATTTTATCTTTAGATTAAAAATCGTTGAAACATTTAATTCATACTAGGCTCTCTATATATCTGTTTCCCTAGTATGGTCTAGAATCTGAACAAGACATGGGATATCCCTTCCACATTGTCTAAATATACTTGAAAAGGTATCAGAAACTCCCTTCCTTGTTCTCTCACAAACTGGAAAAAATATAAAATATGAAACAAGTTCATGCAACTTATATTAAATCACTCTTGCTGGCCCAGATGCTAACCTACTTGCGATCTTTATGTGAGAAAAACTAGAGTACCCAGAGAAAACTCAATTGGTCAGGCAGGTGACCCAATACCTTTTCACGTCCAATCGGGGAATCAAACCCCAGTCCCCTTGGTGAAAGGTAAGCAAGTTATCCACTGTGCTACCCAACCGTCCCTTTGTCTAGTTATACTGGACAATATATCAGACTCTCTTCCTTGTTGTCAAACAAACTACAAAAAACATCCGTGTCTTCCTTCCCTGTTTTCTAGTACAATAGAACAAATTTCAAAGACTCCCTCCCCCATTATCTAGTATACAAGACAGGATTTAGGAGAGATTAACTTCTGTTGTATATTTTTTAACAAGCTTCTGACATACTTGTTGGTGTAGCTGGCTTGGTGGTCCGTTATGACGATTGCTGGGAATTTTCTCTTCTTGAGAAATCGCTGAACAGACGACGGAGGCAGAGGCTTGGAGGAGTCTGCTCTACCTAAGTTTAAGTCTACTGTTCCTCCTATATCTGTGATTTTCTTTATCATGTCATCAACCTACAAACATTAGTTAGATCTAATTAACCAACTCTATTTACATTATTTGAAGTTTTTACGTTTTTGAGTTTCACTACTCATAAGACTAATTAACCAACTCTAAATCATTATATGAAGTTTTTACGTTTTTGAGATGAACTACTCATAAGACATAGAATTCAAAAGTATGAAAAAATTTGATCATGTTCATTTGCAAAAAAAATAACAAAACTCATCATACATGAATGTGATAGGAAAAACTAAAACTGCTATCTCTTAACCCAGAAAATTATTTAGGAAAATTTCTAGATCTGTTTATTACATTTGATATATTAATGTTAGACATGACTTTCTTCTACAGAACCTTCACTCTTGATCCAGTTGATAGATTCAACGGCATATATAAGTGATTAACCTTTTCACCCTTAGGTAACTTTAGTAGACTCTACCATGCATTAATATCGATGAGTCCATTATGGTCTACAGTGGTGAAAGGGTTAAACCAGCGAAAGTTGAGTCAAATTCAACTCCACATTCCGACAATGAATCACATAGCGTAGTGTTGGGAAGAAAGTCACATAAATAGGATGACATGTACAGAACACCATTAACTTTACTTAGCTGAGTGTGTCACTACTTAAAGAGATATAAATTAGATTTTTCTAAAAATCAAGACAAAATATATTTATTATGAAGCTCTTTAATCCATTAACAAATAGATTGTGTTACAAAGGAAGCTCACCTCGTCAGAAATAGTCTTATTGCTGCTGAAGCTGATCGGGTCAGTGTGTATCCACAGTTTACCGTTGTCACGCTGACCAAGCTGGTTGACCTCCACAAAGTGAGAGATATGGTGGAGGTCGATTGGGTGGATGTGTGTCTCTCCTGATACTGGCTCCTCAGGAAACTTCTTGTTCACCATGTCATACACGACACGGCTGCTACCGATGTAGTCAAAGGCCTCCTGAATCAGGCAAACAAAGTCCATAATATAGGTAGTCAAATAAGATCAGCAAAAATAGTCCATAACACTGGCAGTCAAAGGTCTTCTTAATAAGGTAAAACTAGTCAATAAAACAGAAATGTGTAACAAAATTATCTTAAAAGTTCCAAGACTAAATTATTATTTACAATGACTAGACATTTGGTTTGGTTTGTTTGTGTTTTACATCCTATTAACAGCTATGTTCATTTAAGGCATGCCAGGTTTTGGTGGTGGAGGAAAGCCAGAGTTTCAGGAGAAAAAACACCACCAGTGCCCTGTAATAATGGTATATACTCACACCCTGGAAGAAAGCAAATAGGATGTCCTTTGAATTTGTGTTGTTGACGATGCGCTCCTTCACTTTACCAATGGCCTCCGCCGCAGCAAGTAGTCCCACAATTCCTGTTACGTGACTGTCCGCTCCAGGATACTCGTTTTCAAACATGGAAAAAGTGTCCATCTGGGTAGGAAAACAAATGATTCTGTCAATTTGTGGTATTAAATGTATATACGTGTAGTGAGGTTAGCAAAGTGAATTCCACCGCCAGCCTGACTGAGACTACCAGGCAGTGAACAAACCTATGTTTTTTCTTGGTAATATCGTGTAGGAGACACTTTTTTTTCTTACACTCAGAGGCAGTGTATTTTTTCTGGAATTTTGCTAATGACATGAAATATCATTTGACTTTTTTCCAAAAATTTTAAAGAATTTTTTCCCAAACATCGAAAATGTTATTTTTGTCTGACCAACAGACACAGATATACTGTACACCTCCTGAGGTTGTGACACACTTAAATAGAGAGACAGTGGGAGAAAGAGGGAGAGAGGATGAGAAGACAGATGAACGGAGGGGGATTCAGGCTGATAAACAAGTCAAATAGTCAATGATGGACATGTTCTGTATCCATGTATGCAGCACGCACATTTACACACATACATGCCCGCACACATTCATGTTCGCCATCCATATATAATGCAGCCTCGAACCCACAAATCAGTGGTGAAAAACAAGTTTGGTGGATGCAGGTGAAAATGCAATAAAACTCTGTTTCTGACGAAATACTGGTGTTACCCTGCCAGCTGGCCAGCCGGACAACACATCTCATCTCAGATTTCATTTCAACAAATTTTATTCATGATGGTGTATATGAATAGGATCAAACAACAGGCTAAGCCTATATCAGTTCTTCCCTGCATGCATTTGTATGTAACAGTATATATATATATTATAATTTATAGTGAAATGAAAGTTAAAACAAGATACAACTTCTATTCAAAACATATATCAATGTGCAAGTCAATAATATAGGGGAGATAACTCAAATTGGTTACAGAAATTACAGGTCAATCTGTGCTGTATCTTGGCCTCACCAGGGTAATGAGTGAATATTGTCCATCTTCCTTCACTAGATCCTCCCTGGGAATTCATGATCCACACAAAGTGACTCCTAGATACTTCAATATTATACTTATATAAATATAATAGTCATTGGATATTATAAATAAGCTGTGCCAATCCCATCCCAGATAAACATATAACAGTATTCTTACCCTAGCAGCTGCCACAATGACCGACTTGGGTGGGTAGTCCTCTGTACTGGGTATGGCTTTTAGGGGCGCCACTATATTGTTATCACCAAGGGGGTCGCAGTACGTCTCGGGATTAAGACTGACCTGCATGCTGTTACGCCGGACACAGGTCACGGTATCCTTGGACCCAGACATACTGTCCTGTAGGTAAATAAACGACATAGATCATGGAACTGGTGGCCTCAGACACTGTCTTACGAGGTGCATAGGTCACAAAGGCATTGGACCCAGTACATGTAAAGAGGAAACATAAACATCATGGAATTTATGACTTCAGAAACCTCCAGGGCTGCTATTGTCAGAAATATTTTGATGTATGAGTTAAAGCACAAAATCATTTTATCAACATCAAATTGTTTCAGAGGACTAAATTCCATAAAATATTACAAAACTGATGTTAAAATTATATATGTTTTTTGTTTAATTCAATTTATATTTGTACCACTCTTTTTATCCCTATTATTGAAAATTATTCAAAAATTAAATTCAAGAATATTGAAGTTATTCTTAATCAAACTTAACCATTTTAACCAGTAATAAACAATACATTATGTCACATACTTATCCAACTCCTGCCTGATACATGTAAGACTGGATTCTCAATGTATCTCAAAATGTTTATTTTGGCAATCCTCTAACTACAGCACTTTAACCACTGTAAAAACCTGTATAATTTGCGCAGGTACTTTTTCCGCTGAAAATGCTGAAATTTATTTTTATCTAATCTATTTCGGTATCCCTGTATTGAAAATAATTTTAAAATTTAAGGATACAAAGTAATCCTAAATTTGAAGCAAACGAAAAATTTGTTTTCTTTTATATTCAAAGAATACATTTAAGCTGAAGGTCTCATTCCAAGTCTTACCTTCAACTCTACAGCACAGAGAGGATAGTCCCTCGGATGTCCCTTGGCGAGTGGCTTGTTGAACTTCTCAAAGCACTGAAAACAGATTATTATTATACTAATGATAATTACAGCGTTAATGTTTTCAGACAGATATTGATCACATTCTTCTGTCTACTCTGTTCTGCGCCTACAATCTGCAGTGCCCGACAGGCTCTGTCAATTGCAAAGTTTAGAAAGTTAAGCATCCATGGTTGTCCATGATGTCTGGAGTATCTGACAACCTGAATTAGAGTTTAGACAGCTCATTGGCTGTGAAGTCAAAAGCATTTGAAAAACCAGATTGGCTATAGGTCAGCTCGAGCGATAAACAGGCAGTACCAAATAAAAGCTTCAAGTTAAAATAATACAGAAAACATCTCCATATGATTCAGATATTTACTATAACAACATTTCACATCCATTTGTTTTTTCAATCCGTTTCATCCTTGATATGTTGGTTGTAGTTGTAAAGGGTTTAATGTTGTCCTATCAACAGATAACAACTCAGTAGCCCCTGAAGGCACATTTGAACTCTTCCAATTCAAAGGTTGGAGAGTCCATTGTGAAATTTCAGGGATGAATGAGTTAAGTATCCTTGATATGAATCTATGAATACAACATGTAATTAACACATTGATTGAATACTTGATTGGCCAATAATTACATCATGTATAAGATAGTCCACTTCCGTCTCGTTCTTCAAGATAAAGATGGGAAAGGCATAATCCTGGAACATCATGCTGTTGCCGTGTGGGTTCCATTGGCCCTTTGTACAGCTGCCGTAGTCAGAGTTCCCGTGGTAGAGACCTACAACACATAGTGGATAGAGAGTTACTGATTTGTTACCTGAGTTACATAGTACCTTCAACTCATTAACCCCTGAAATTTCACAATGAACTAGTCGGAAGAGTTCAAATGTGTCCTAAGGGGTGAATGAGTTAATCCAGGGATCTCAAAAAAGTGACCGATTTCACATCCTTCAATAAAATGACCAACTCAATCAGTTTTCAAATTCAGTAAGAAATGAAAAACATCATCATGTTCCTTATGAATATGTAGTCAAAGAGAAAATTGAAAAAAACTACTTTTATTAACAAAGTGACTTGAGAAAAATTGTGGTTTATAGAATTTGTAAGGAGTTTCATGAAAAAACCCATTACTTTGGTAGTTATCACATTGAAATCTTTTTGTTGACGATGACACCACTCATATGGTCGGGTTGTGCAGTGGATAGCGCACTGGCATTTCACCATGGCAGCCAGGGATTGATTCCCCGATTGGATGTGGGCTTTCTCCAGGCACTCCGGTTTCCTCCCACATTAAGACCCCCCCCCTCCCCCGCTCTAACATCCGGGCCAACAAGAGTGATTAATATAAGTTGAAATAACTTGTTTCATAATTGTAGCAAAATAAATGAAGTTTTTATTTATATACACCACTCTTGTGGAGTGATCCTGAAACATCTAGTCACATAAACTGTGCAGGCAATACAAAAATAAATCAGAGAATGAAAGGAGTAAATATAATTATCATTAACATTTTTATTTTTATTTTTTCTAAACATTTTCTTCATGTTGGTAAGTATGAATTATGAAAAGTTCTTTTTTACACAACCAATAGAATGTTCTATGTGACGTTTCGATGACTAGTACGATATGTACACTGTCACCTTCATCAGACAAATGATCAGTGAAGCCTATGCATACAAAGGTGTAAAATGTGTACAAGTTGTCCACAAAATCGAGGTGATTGACTTGGATAACTCCAAAGATTTGGACAGAGAGAGAGCAATCTGTTCAAGAGGCAGATAAAGGAAGCCATCTGGATACGCTGCAGTGGGCCAGTTCTAAATCGAGACTCTTGCATATCTATGACCAAGTATTAAACAATTGTAGATGAATCAAGTCATTTCGGTACATATATTACAACTACTGTACATACGCTTACAACGTAGCCGAAATTGACATCGATTTTGTGGACAACTCGTACACATTTTACACCTTTGTGTGCATATGCTTCGTCATTTGTCTGATGAAGGTGACAGTGTACATATCGTACTAGTCATCGAAACGTCACATAAAACATTTTATTGGATGTGTAAAAAAGAACTTTTCATAAATAACATATTTTGCTAGACTTTTCACGACTAAAGGATTGAAGGCGTTGATTTTGAACATACTAAGAAAGAACTCTGTCACAGGAACAGGCTTTTCTGAGGGACAAGTCAGCATCTAAAATGTTTATCTATAATTGCTCCGACTGGCCCTTTATAGTTCTTACCATACTGGTCACTGGGGCAGGCGTTATCGGGAGAGAACGTGTCTGGTATTGGAGTTTTGTCCAAGTGTATGACCATCATTCCGCTGATCTTCCCCGAGTTCCATAGACTCTGCACATTTGTCCTGTAAATATCAGCTTTATGTGTGATTCATGGTGACAACAATATATCGTGCAATGATTTGAATATGTTTTAATATACCTAAGATATTTTTAGGATTCTGTTGTTTCTGATTTTTTGAAAACTTTTTATGTATTCAAAGGACAATTTATATAACACAGAGACATATTTTACAGAATAACTTTTCCCACTCCACACCATTACTGTTTTAATTTTTCTTTTCTTGAATTTAGTCCACTCGTATCTGTTCCAACATGCATGGTGAGTGCAACTCCAGCTTGGTATATATATGCAAATCAAAAGATGGTGTACGGTGCCTGGTTAGTGAAACGTGTCTAGAGGATTTACAATGCTAACCTGATGTATGAGCCCTGTCTTTGATGGTTCTAACTTACAGGGTAAACAGTATAGGACCCATCAGGATGGCGTATGGTGCCTGGTTAGCTGTTTTATTGTTTGTCTGGAGGGTTTACAATGTAAACCTGTATGAGCCCTGTCAGTGTAGATTCTAACTTAGTGTAAACAGTATAGGACCCATCAGGATGGCGTATGGTGCCTGCTTAGCTGTTTTATTGTGTGTCTGGAGGGTTTACAATGTAAACCTGTATGAGCCCTGTCAGTGTAGGTTATAACTTACAGTGTAAACAGTATAGGACCCATCAGGATGGCGTATGGGGCCTGGTTAGCTGTTTTGATGATATAGTTGATATCCTCTTCAGTCTCCACATAGTAAACAACTCCAACATCCCCTGATGCTTTAGCTGTAACATACATTTTTAATTCTTAAAAATTCCTTCACTGTTATTGTCTAAATACACGTGTATACACAATTCAATAGAATACACCATAAGAATTCATAAAAAAACTACAATTTTGCTAAAGCTACTATAAGTTTCTCCATCTCTTAAACTTAAATCCATGATTTTTATTTTTTGGAACTCAAACATATGAGTCTTAGACCATTTTTGTTCCTGTAGGAATATCACATATCTTCAGAACATGATGTTGAAAATTATTGTATAACTTGATTTCAGTATTCAGGCTTTTAATCTTGACTCTTTATGATCTTAACAAATTAAAAGTATTTTTTTCACAACTGTCTGTTATTCATTAGGTATTAACTATACAAGTTTATCGATCACTTGTTAACTTCCCATGATAAGTGGCCACAGGCTTCTGAGTCTAATACCAAAGAAATGTGCTTTAGGTATTTGTGACTTCAACAACTGAAGTCCATCAATACTTCATTACACTATTAGTTGAAGTCTCTAAATCGTCACATATATATGAAAGTCAGTAAAGAAAAGTAAGTTTTCAATAATTTTGAAAGATTTTTTTCACAGGCGTGTCCTGAACATCATTTTTGAGATTTTAATGAATCCCATTACTAAGAAATAAAGTGAGTCCAGTCCATCAGTCCACGACTCACATATATCTATGTTCCAAAAATCATTGATACATATATTTGATATATAAATAACTGCCTTTGAAACTGATATTGCTGGTAGAATTGGAGGTACATGATATTGCTGGTAGAATTGGAGGTACATAAGTTCTATGATCAGTAACGCCATGTTGGTTCATCCTCTTACAATTGCATCCAATTTGATGTGTGGCGTTAAATCGTCTGAAGCAGGCTGACACACCATCGATCTCCACGTAGGTCTTGTTGCTTACTCTTACACCACACACTAGAATGGCAAAAAAATAAGAATGTGATTATATCAACAACACGACATGTTATTTCATCTCGTTACATACGTCTACCAAGTAATTGACCTACTTCATCATATTGAAGATTATGTCAATGTAAGGTTGCATTGTGAGATCTAGAGTGTGTGCATGGCAAAGAAGGATGTGTAGATTTGTGTATGAAATGCTAATGATTTAGAGAGTGTAGTGTAGTTTTAAAGGTGTCAAGAGATTCTGAAGTCACCAGATCAGGAGACAGTTTATTCCACTCTGGGATAAAGAGTTCTAGGAAAGAAAGAGTTTGACTTTGAGAAAAACTTGGTTGAATTCTGGAAATATCTTGAGTTGAAGTATGATCATACAGCGTCTTATATATAGACTTATTTTATGTTTTCCACAAAGAATTTCAAATTATATTGATGTGGATATAGAGGCAGCAATTCCTGTGTCCACTAATATTGAATACTGACCATTGCCAGCAAAAAAATGTCTCTTTTTCGTAACAAATTATGACAAATAATACAAGATAATCAAAATATGCCACACCAATACATCAACAATAATCAGCTGTAATTAATATTTGTATGCCAATTTCTATAAGCATTATCAAGCCAAAACTTCTGCTAAAGCAACAGAGACACTGTTGAAAATGACAATATATTACACGCCACCTTTTGAGGAATGACATACACAATTCTGGTTTCACAATTAAAAGTTATTAAACTGATTAGCTTTTTCTCCGTGTGGTGAGAGGGGGAGATATTTTTGTTAAACTTTCAAATCACGGGCACCGAAAGCGAAATTAATAAGATCTAAACCTTATTGATTATAACACACCCTAGAGATGTATGAGTCACGAAGCCTAAAATTAACTTGATGTGCCTGTACCTTTGGTCACATCTTATGGTTTTATTGACATTGTTACGCATGTAAGTTAAGATTTCATGAGATGATGGGTTTGATGCAAGAAAAGAATTATTTATTTATGTCAACAAAGTAAGCATAATCTGTCTCATGACTCAATACAATACATCAGAACACCCCGGAAGGATTTAACTAAATTTCAGATAAGAACAGGTTATAGCAACATTTGGTGATATGTCCTGCATAACATATTCCTTTAGTGCTATTCTGATATCATTACAATGACAATACACTAACTACTTACCTAATGAGATCAGAATAGACCATGTTATCACATGAGCTACATCTATAGTGGCGGCCATGTTTGTGAATTGTTTCACTTCCGCTTTCCGCTAAAGGGAGGTAAATCAAACATAAAATAGCTGGAAATTTTAAAAACACCATCGAATCACATCATAGTTGCTAAATCATCTTACAAGAACAATTTTTGCTTGGAACTTATATGAAATAAGTGACACATAGTCAGCGGGCACACATCCGAAAATACTGTTTTCTACATAATTTAAGGTGGCTCCACACATCGTCATCAGCGTCCATTTTCGTGACGTACTTCCGGAAAAAGTACAGCTAGGACTCTATTATCTTGATCGAAATGTGCATGTACAACGTGTCGTCATTTCCGTATTGCGTTTCGGGCATTCAATTTCGTAGTGGAAATTATAGCACGGAATTAGAATAGATATCTAAGTCCGTGATTATAGTAACACCTGCTGGGCCGTTTTCATTTAAACGGTCAAACCGATCGGACCACTGTTGTTCGTTTATTAAATAAGGTCGGACCTAGTAATCTGATGCTGCTTTCAGGCGAGTCTTGAGAAAGCATTGCAAGGCCTGCATACACATTTGCAGGTCCGCCAGGATTTATACCCGAAATTGTTCCATTTAAATTTATATAGGATTTATATTCCGTCTTTGCGTATTGCAGAGTTATCTTCTCTTGGGAGCAGGTATTGATTGTTACGTCATTGGTTTGTGTGAGAAAATTACGTCGTTTTCTCAAAAATTGATGACTTTCCTCTCACAAACAAGNGGGGCGGGGGAGCTAAATCTCATAAATCTCATCATCCCTCCCCAAACCCATGCCAGCCTGTGAGATTTTCATTCAATGTGACTGTCCCATATTGGATAGACAGGGACAAGTTCTGCCCATTGGGCAGTATGGCATTTAATTGTTAAAACCATTCGGAAGAGATATTCGCCTTTTATAAAACCATACCAAAACGTCCGTATTTGAAGAATTATTTAACTTTTTACTGTCGGAAGATACGACCGCCTTGGTGTAAGTTCGGACAGGATGTCTGGGGTAAGATAGGCCCACGTTGTAATTAGCTTAATTATGACGTCATAAAGCATGCAACGTTATATTTTCCCGCCAATATTCATGTCTTCCGGTGTATGGCACGAGCCATCTTCGCTAGCCAAGGGTTACGATCCGGTACGATCCACCCACTCAGTAGGAAGACCGGAACGCATTTTTATTTATTTTTTATGAATAAAAAAATATTGAAGACTGGAAAAGAATTAGATGAAAATAAGTATAAAGCTGCTTTTTTAATGGATCTATCAGAAGCATTTCACAGCCTAACACATGCAATTCTACTTGATAAATTATCAGCCTATGGTCTTTCCAAACCTTCACTAAATTTAGTAGAAAACTATTTAACTGACATAACTCAACAAATTAAAATCTAAACCTCTTTCAGCAGCTGGAGCAGTATCAAAAAGGTTGTACACCAAGGCTTAATCCTCGGTCCATTCCATTCAACATATTTATAAATGGCATGTACCTCTCTGTACAACACTGCCAACTATATAACTATGCTGACAACAATACCCTATCACAATCATCCTCAAATCTTAACAAACTTATATCTTCACTAGAATAAGACACAAAAAAATCTCATACACTGGTTCGACATAAACAAAATGAAAGCAAACACTGACTTTCAAGCACTAGCCATAAAAAAAAGACCCGGTCACAAAATATCTCTTATCAATGACACATCTATTACACGTGTAGACAGTGCAAAACTACTATAGGTGTTGATATAGATTTTCGGCTCTCTTTCGACCTGCACATCAAAAACATTTGCAGAAATGCCTCACAGCAACTAAATGTACTTTTCAGAATTAGAACACACCTATAGATAAACAGACTTATTAACTCACAATATTCCACACCTTTATTCTTTCTCACTTTAACTTCTGCCCATTCTCCTGGCACTTCGGCACTGAAGCAAATGATACAAAAATAGAGAAAATTCAGTATAGGACACTCAGATTTATCTATGATGACTTTCCCAGGTTTACGATGACCTGTTGACCCGGGCACACATACCTACTTTAAAAATTAGAAGAATGAGACAAATAGCAATAGAAAAACAAAATTATACACACAACCGTACCCTCAAGCCTCCACAACATTGTCACACCTAAACCCCAAAACTACAGTTTCAGATACACCAACATATTAACATTCCACAATTTAGAACCACTACATACGGCATGAAATCTTCAGATACACAGCAGCCTGCCTTTGGAACAATCTACCCAACACATGTAGGACAACAAATAACTTCACTCACTTCAAAATCTATAATATCTCCTGGAACGGTACACAATGCAAATGTTCAACCTGCAAATGAAACCTCAACCTCTACACACCTGCGCTATCTCAATTTTGAAATGTATTTTATCAGATCAGTACTAATTTATTGACTATATCACATGAAATCTGATGTGTTTTAAAATATACTAAATGTATGTGCCTATACCAAAAATAGCTCGAAATCTGAAGTGTTTTATCTTATATGATATTTGTATTGCCCAAATTTAATATACCAAGTGTGAGTGTCTTTATAAGTTGTAACGTGTATGTCGGTCAAAAGCTATATAGAGCTTATGTTATTTGTTTTTAAAATGCCCACCGACTTTAAATAACATTTAACTTATCTTCTCTTACCGGATCGTAACCCTTGGCCAGCGAAGATGGGCATGGGTCGAACCTGCCCCAGATTGATATTTCAATAAATCCGTATATCATAGAGTACGCAACTATATGCTAACCTTTTATGTATACCAACATGTGAAGCTGTCGGTGTCTTACATGTATGACCTAAATAAGTAGCAACTCGGTTTACAGAAACTTTGCAAAAATAGAGAAAATTAAGGTCATGATTTTCTTTCCACTCTCACCCCAAAACATCTCGCTTTTAGTAATCTAACAGTATACATGTAGTGTTCCCGCCATTATTTTCGTGTGAATATCCTGTCCAGTGAACTGCTCTACTAAGATCCTCAAAGTTATAAATATTTGCTCAAGACCATACATATCAGGAGTGGCCGGATTTACCCCGGAGACGAACTTGCCCGGTATCCCCTAAGTTGCCCTAACCTCATATTGAACCCTCCCGAAATGGATATGACTTGGCGCGTTGTTTTCAAAGCACTCCTGAAATATTTGCGTATCAAATACTGGCGATATTATATCACTCATCTATATGTCATCTGCATTCGGATGTTTTAAAAATATCAAAAAACATCTGTCGGCAATATTGGGATATTTTGGATCTTTCTTTACTTAGCTGTTGCGATAATGCAAAACTCTAACTAGACAGATTTCATCGTTTTTTTTTTTTGTATCTGATATTACTCTTATATGTTTGTCAAGGGACATTATTTTGTTTATTGAAATATTCTGATTGGTAAATCAGTCTGTTAAAAAATGATCATGACGTCTCATGCTGAGCAGTTGAACAATTTCAATGAAAACAGTCTACGGTTTGGTTTGGGATTGGGTTAGTATTGTTCAACGAGGATTACAAGACCCATATAGCTTTCTTTTCCGAAATGAACTGGACAACAAAATGAATAGCTTTCAATAACTTGCAATCATGCATGATGGACATCTCAGACTTTTAATTGATCTAGCAACACTTGTTAATTCAGTATTGATCTGCTGGATTGCCGCAAGAAATCAGGTTTCAAATCAGTAGTTGTATGGAGTCAAACATAATTGTTAGCGTTAATCAAACCTGTTTGCTTTCTACAGATGATACCGTAAAATACTGACATCATTTTAGGAACGAAAAAAATAATAAAATGATTTACAAATTTTTTAGACTTGTGTTTGTCAGTACATGCATTCAAAAGAATCAAAGATCTTACTCCAGAACTGATACTAATTATCATATTAAATGTTAGCAGGACGTCAAACACCCAGTTGTAACCATTGATTTCAAACTTAAATTTAACACACACATTCCTTAGATCTGCAGAAAAGTATCCAGACAACTAAGTAATGTAAAAGAGATAGATAAACATTTAAATAGACTTGGAAAATAAACTGTTTACTATTCTTCCATCCATCATGTCAACATTTAATTACTGTCCCCTAGTTTGGCATTTCTGTGGGATAGTAAACAAATATAAAATTGCAAAAAATCAAGAAAGGCCATTTCGGTTTATTTATGAGGACCAAGAAAGTTTATATGATTCTTTGATAGCTTGTTCAAAATTGCCCTAAGTAAAAATTAGAAGTTTAAGAAATTCACAGTTCATCTGTATAATACGGTTACGCTTACCTTGACCCCGTCATAACCTTTCAAAAATGCAATATCTCATAAAGCAACGTCAACTAAGATCTGGGTATGGCGTTCTGTCAACAGTTTGCCGCCTGCTACCCCTGTCCTTGGCAATGAACTGAGCTTGGCCCATAGGATATCCCATTTCTTCTAATTCTGATGTTATTGTCCTCTGACTACTTTTCTCTTGGCAGGTGGTGCCCAGTGTAAAGCAACTCTGGTAATTCTGTTTTGTGTCATTCTCAAAACATGCCCAAGCCATCCCATCCGTCGTTGTTTTTCCTTTTCCTCAGCAGGCTCTATTGCTTATTTTATTTGGCCACATAATTGTATTGATCTTACGTACACAGCTATTATGGAAGACTTAAACCTTTTTTATGTCACTTTCAATGACACGCCAGCACGCAGGAGAACTGGTTCCACATTGCTATTATACAGTTGTATCATTGCCAGAAGTTTGGCAAATGCTGCTGGTACCGGTTTGTAACCAGTAACACAGTCTGATGAAGTGTTTATTTATTGTTCCGTCACCTTCAAACAACGTCCTCGGAACAGCCATGGCACTGTGAAGACGAGTACCAGGGAGGAAACAAGCGAAAAGAAAGCGTAGAGAAATGAGAAAAAGATATATGTATATCTCGATTGTTACAGTGGAGGCTGCAGATTATGGTAGGTTGTCTTTGATGTCCCCTTAGCAGAAGGGAGAACAAAAACCCCGAATCTGCGAGGGGCCTCCTATTGGTCGCCTCTTACGACTAAATATATTTGGATGCAGCAGGCAAATTCTTTCCCCGAACCTGTATGATTTTTAGTAGACATATGTCTTGGAAATTGTTAAAACCAAATGAGAGACAGAATACATATTTTCATCACCTACGTACATGTGATTTATATATGTAATCAATGTTACGATCAAACTGACGCTACTTTCGCACAGCAGTTTACCAATCAATTTGTTATCCTATTCTAGTTTCATTATCTTCTAGATCGATGGATACTGGTAGCCAAACGTTTACGTTGCTGGGTTGTTCTAATTGAGATGTTTTTATTAAACTTGATTAAATCTGACGCCAGGCACCACGACTCGATAGCAATCAGAGACTTGTCCACAGTGTCCCTAACCCTAACATCGATCATGATGCTCTACGTCCGTGGTTTGACAGAAGACATGCTGGCGGATTTCGCACGTTCCAGAAGAAAAGCTGATAGTTCTGGAACATGTGGGCCCGTATTTATGAAACAAGACTTAATTTCTGTTCTCAAAACCCTCTAAAACATGCAATATAGCAAATATAAAAGGGGGGATAAGTCTCGATATCGATAACGGAAGTCTAAATATCAAAGTTCCTCCAAATTGTTTTGTAAAATTTGTATACTGGAGAAAGGGCTTAAGCGCAGAATCTGAGTTGAGTGTGAGACTGAGAAAGATTATATAAACGCTGGCACCAGGTTTCGTCTGGGGGTTCATAATGATTTTGCTTTTGATAACTTCGATTTCTTTCTTTTTATAGATTTCGAGTTTCTAATAGATTTTGGGTTTTGATTTTGTTATTTTGAATTAACTTCGAGAAGGTTTGCGGAACTTTGGAAGTGTGATGTCATCAGTAAAAAAAGCTATTTCATTTTTTTTCGTGTTAACCAGCAGCAAATAATAAACAAACAAGTACAAAATTTAATGATTTTTTAATCGATAAAATGAAAAAACGCAATGACGACGATACCGGTTAAATAAGGGTGAGTACCTTAATGTTAAGGTATTCAATTTCAATTTCAACAAATTTTATTGACAATATAAGCAATTGTCAATAGGATCAGACATCAGGCATAGCCTATCTAAGTCCTCTCCTTAAAGTGACAACAGGTGGTAAGAAACACAGACATATATTTGTACATTGATATGATGTTTGGGATAAGGGGAAGTAACTCCTTGATGTAAACAGACTTGTTCAGTATTCTTGAGATTTAATTTGAGATATTTACTAGACTATTATCTTCAGTGAATAGTTTCAAGTATTAGACAATGAGTTACTGGTATTCATATAAGGTAAATTGTTGAGTATAAATATTTGGTGATATTGGATTTATTCCCTCAACAGATACAGGCCATACAGTCCATATGTATAACACACTAGCCATCACACACTGTTAAGGATCAAAAGCCAATTTCAGCAAATAGATATAGAATTTGTAAATAGGGCTACACCAACTCCTGTAAGTAATGTAGTAATTCTTTAATTAAATGTGTATAAATCTTTTATACATATAACTTGAAAAAAACCCAGAAAAAAACCGAATGTAAGAATGTATAATTATGTTCCAAAAAATAGTAACGGGAAGTCAAATATTATATTAATGAAAATCTTTTTGATTGCGATATAAAGTTTGATACATGAGATAAGATATCTCTATTTTGTATATCATTACAACTATTACAACCATTTAGTAGGACATTTATACACAGATGATTGTGTCATGATTCAAACTCTAGTGGAGAGTCTGGCGAATATTATTATATTGATTACATTCAGAAAAATAATGTGCAGCAGTTTCGAAAGATCCGTTACACTCTCACATTGGAGATATTAAGGTTTTGCTGTGATCATTATAGTTAAACATACACGAAGTCAACATTTGACTCTTATTTCAGCATTTAGTAGAATACTTCAATCTGATTTGAACATGAATGAATTAAACTTTAATTTAAAAGTATATTTAATGTACAGACAACTAAGTAATATTAACAATATATTTACAGGTGAGAATGCAAATGAGTAAGACTACGATCTTGCCAAACCACGAAATGTAAGAACGCCTTCAAACTAAATTTGAGCAAAATCAAACAATATCTGATTTCGACCCTTAGATTATGGAGGCTATCTTTGATAAAATTGATAGATGTTTGTTCTTCAATAGTCCAGCACAACAAATTTCTGAAAAACGGAAAATGAGTTCGCAACGTTTTTAACTGATAAAAAAATAGTCACTTGCACTCCACCTTATGCCAATAAATATGAAATATGCCATGTTTCCTTAAAATCAACCAAGCAGTTTAAAAAAAAAAGCAATACAAGTAACGCGTCGGACAAAAAGTTTGCGGAAGAATTATGAAAAGGAGGTAAAATAATTAAGACCCCACTTTGTTCGAGGACTGACTTATTGAGAAGCGGAATATTAAACAATATTTGTTGAATTGTTTAGTCTGTGATGATGTGTAGTATTCTCACATCTATGGAATATGAGAGAAAATACTGCCTTACTGGCAAGCTTGCTTTTCCAGCAGTGCGGTATAGCCCGGGGACCCGCTCACTAGTTCAGCAACGTCGAGCGTGATCACTAGTTGGATGGGGGACTGCCCGCACGTTACATAAGGTGGTAGCGGTGTGTGATCATGGAAGACCAGTTCTACACAGAGATGACCTACGGGATTCCCCAGGCTATGTGTCGGGACGAGTCTTCTCGGAGGGGGGAATAATGTAACATCTAAGGAAGATGTGGGAAAATACTGGCTAATTATGGGTTACAGTATATGTCAGATGCTGGTGAATCCTACTGCCACGATGAACTAGGCACGTATTTATACGTTAATTGTCGGATATGGAGAAATCGACTTAGCCATTTTGTCCCAGAATACTACCTGACCGTGGGTGTCGTCACGGGGATACTCAATGTAGGATTCATTATCTATCAGGTCCATCATTGTAAACGGTAACTCTCTGGACGGAATATCCTCATAGAAAACCAGCAAAACAACGGTGTTACCTCCCCTTGAATATATACTCTCCATTCGGGCCATGTTGAATTCATACTTACACCAGTAGGAATCGAGATATTTCCTAGACAGTAAGACGACGGTTTTCCGACTTCGGTGAATAGCATTAGTGATGTTTTGCGCTATCTCCTGTCCGGGGATAAAGTCCCGTTGATGAAGACACAGTTTTAGTCCCTTACTGTCTTCGAGATTGGGAACTACCTGTTTTAGAACAAACAGATAATCCCCCGAACAATAAGATATGAAAGCATCATACTCGTAGTCATCATCGTCAACCGCACTAACGACAGGGGTGTAACCGCCACGTCGGATCCTTGCCAGGTAGAACAGGTACCGTAGTTTCCACCTGTACCGGTACACGATACCGGAGATAGTCAGGGATATTGACAGTACGATCATTGATCCAAACACGGCTATAATACCGATGTAGCTGTCACATGACTTTGTTACTTCAGTTAAAGTTTGGTCAAAGTTTGAAAAAGATATTCGAGTTCCATTGGGAAATTCGCATTCATACGTATGAAAATTGACAAATAAACCTTTGTTATGATCTAACCATTTCAGGTAGTCTAGCTGGTCACAGGAGCAGGTCATACGGTTCCCTTCTAAATTAAGCGTCACATTGTTGCCCCTTAACTTATCGATCTGGTCCCTCTGGTCCGGTTTGATCGTTTTCAGTTGGTTATGCGTCAGGTCCAGATACTGTAAGTGTTTCATATGTGACAAGTCCAAACTAAACTCGTTTAACGCGTTATTACTCAGGTTTAGAATTCTCATTTTGTATTGGTTCTTTAGAAGAAGTGGCGGTAAATTGTAGATGTGATTTGAGGATAGGTCAAGCATTTCTAATTTCGTCAAATTCCTGAAGATGTTTCCACTAGTATCTTTATATAGCACAAGTCCTAACAAATTGTTCTGAATCAATAGCGTTTTGATAACATTATCCAAGGAAAAGAAATACTCGGAAACGTAAGTACAATAGTTATTCGAGAAATCAATATATTGAACACGTTTCAAATTGACCAATGGGCCTCTCAATGAATGGAATAAGTTATTACTTAAGTCAAGAATTCTAATATTATTTTTTTGGGCATCTACAAAGCCTATTTCAAAATTCATTGCATTGTTACTGTAATAAAACTCTCTTAACGAATGAGGAAAGGGGAAATTGGTTAAAATGTTACTGTTGTGACCTAACTTCCGAATAGGATTTCTGTTACAGCTGTGTAATTCTGAAGTAGATTGGCCGAATGTTATCTGGTTGTGGGACGATGGTGGTGCCCGCCAATCATTACAGTCGCTACTGCCTGACTCCAGATTATGGGGACTCCCCTGATGTTCCGCATGGATGATCTCTATATTTGGCATTCCGGACATAAGTTCAATATAGTACAGTCCGAAAGATAGGTCGTTGTCGGCGACGGATAGAAATTTGAGAGTTCTTGGGAGTTCTCTTGCCGCACCGGTTTCAAGCACAGACAGCCGATTACTCCCTAGGTACAAATGTGTGATGTTAGTGTAATACAGATGTTTTATATCGTCCTTGTGTATCACTGTACTAGGACCAAATGTACAGTGTAACCGACTGACGTCCAGGATACGTACTGGGGTGTACTGAACGTCATTTGAGACGTTTGATAGGACTCGAAATGTCAGACATTCGTTAGAAGAAATATTAAGTGTGTGAAGAGATTTAAAATCACGAAACGTTCCGAGTTCAATCATTTGAATATTGCAATCAGAAATATCCAAATTAGCAACATTAGAAACACTCCGAAAGAAGCTGGATCTTACAGTTCTGATGTGACATACCCCCGTTTTTCCGGATAAATCTAAAGTACTTAACTGAGTCAACAGCATAAAACTATCATCAAAACCTACTAAATCCACCCCATCTACCAGCAGTGTCTCTAGTGATTTCAGTTGGGAAATACTGACTGGAAACTGTAAGTGTCTTATTGCAAACTTCATATTGTTCCGTTTTAAATTCAACTTTTTCAAACTAGACAATCCCTGAAAAATGTTTTCGTTATACGTCGCTTTAGTATATTGCAATTTGTTATTGCTTAAATCCAAGTTTTCTAATTTGTTCATGTCCTTGAATGGGAATCCGATGAACGTTTTTAACTTGTTTTCTGAAAGGTCCAGATATGCAACCGAAGTTGGAACCCCTTCACCGGAGAAGTTTGTAATCCTGTTTCCCTGTAGATGGATAACTGTCACGTTAGGGTGAAAACGTGGAACTGTTTCGATATTTAAATATGAACAGTCGGCCACGAGAACATTGTCCTTAGTACGATGGCAATTACAAACGTTCTCGGCTGTACAATGAAATGAAGCCTTTGTTACGTCAAGGCTTGGATGATTGGCTGTAATAAGATCGCTCCTGATTGGTTGTTGTAAGGTCGCTCCTGATTGGCCGTGACCACTCCGAATTTTCGAGTAAACCCCGTCGGTGACCTGACTGTGAACCTTTGGTATGTTGAAACATCCAGTAAGCAGGATGATCCCTGGAAATAAATATCGAAATTAAATTGTGTAAACTATAGCACGTTATACGGAAACCGGTACGGGTCACAGAGAAAAAAAACACCGTAGCTATATTGTAATAACGACTTACCATCTTAATTTGTAATAACAAATTAGCTATCTCGTGATAACGACATTGGACTTGTTACTACCTTGAAATAATCCACTAGCGAGTGGTAATTACAAGATAGTAAGTCGTTATAGCGAGATATTTTTATCGGTTGCCCGTCCCGGGCTTTCGTAGATTTGTTAGATCAACCCCACAATATCTTATACTGACATTCTCCTGCATTACATTTGTACTAATCCTCATAGGCAGAACAAATGGTCGGAGCTACAATTACGAAATAATTACAAAAATAGTATAATGACGATTTAACTAGTGTTATGTAGAAACTAACTATAAAACAGACTGTGGGTGACAGTTCCACTGACTAAATGTATACAAATAATACATATACTATATACAATTGTATAATGTTTACAAATAATACAATTCTATAATGTATACAAATAATATATATAATATATACAATTCTATAATGTATACAAATAATATATATAATACATACAATTCTATAATGTATACAAATTATATATATAATATATACAATTCTATAATGTATACAAATAATATATATAATATATACAATTGTATAATGTATAAAAATGTTATATATAATATATACATTGTATAAAATTACCTCTCACGTCCTATCTCTGTAGGGACCATTCCTCTGTGCATGCTTTAATATCTTACTGTACTGTTGCTGAATCATATTTTGCGAGCACGAATTTGAAGGTCACCTGACCTTGAAATTCCATGGACAGCACTACCCTTTACCCCTTATTCATAAACAATCATTCTTTCACTAAACAAGATGTATCTGGCTAAACCAAAAGTTGTTAGGAATTTGAGTGTCTCGCGAAGATTACCCCTCATGCTTTTATTGAATATAACACTATATCCTGGTGTGCTATACAATAGTGTGTAACAATAAATACTGATTTTTCTTATTTTCTATCAATGGATATAGTAATCACAGTCATATATATATACACACTTTCCTACAAAGCTGCCCTATGTGATGAAAATGTCAACAGGATTATTTTAAGAGATGCTGAGGTGGTTTTTTTCGGAACACTAGACATTTAAATACAATAGATGATACAGTATGTTAATCACGATAGCTTTGTTATATTTGAAAAAGACTTGTTCATCGACTTGATAAATTTAATCAGCATTATCCGAATTTATATGCAATAAGGCTGAATAATGAATAAATCCATTTGAGCATGTATGTTGCTGTGTTTTGCGCATCTCTCTCATATTGCTTTTGTCTATTTGAAATTAAAAAAAGAGTACAATTGTGTAGGTTATGCAGTCTAAAGTATCAAAGACTTTTGTGCTGGTACACGTGGACGTCAGGTCAAGTGGTTGTGGCTGTGTGACCAAATATATATATATACGTATGTGTTCTTAATGATAACATTGCACTCGTAGAGATTTTATACGTGGTTGTGTTTGTGTCCTGCTTAGTGTTTGTTTAGATATTCAGTTATCTCCCTTTGCCTGATCAATTAATTATATATTTTCCATTTCACAGTATACTCAATTTTAATTGATTTTTAAATCAATCGTAAATTGTGGTTGACACCAATGGCGAGACTTATGTAGGCTTGCATGTTTTTCGGTCTTTTGAGTGTAAAGTACACATCAATACTCTGAAATGTTTTGTTAATGGAAAACTGGTACATGTATCTCTCTCTGTTTTTCTAACTACCTTTTATTTTCCGGCTACTTGCTTGGCAATACCGCACTTTTGGCTTTATTGTCGAACGTTCGCCCAAGTGAAGAAGGCAACGAGTCCTTAAAATGGTAGTTGTTATTGCCTGCTTAACGTTCAGCTTAAAAGGTAACGGCAACGATTGGTTCACCAGTCAGTATACTGTGGTCGATCGGAATGCTGTGCTGAATGCCTTCGACAGGGTATTTCAGTGAGATAGCACTATAAAGTCGGCATCAGATCCGCACTATCACAAGGAGGCAATTACACCATCATACCCTGTCTCCGGCACACATACAAGCATGTACGCATTCACAACATACATGGAGGCACGTCCTTAAATGACCATAGTCGTTAGTAGGACGCTAAACAATATACAACCACCCATGTATTACATGATTGTCATTATTGTAACGTTATAGGTGTATCTGGTTTATTTTAATGATAGCATACTTACCACAATATATCTCAAACAAGCACATAGTGTCAGCTACTATATCCAATTACTCTGGATCTGGGGGAAAACAAAGACAGATATAATTTAAGTCTAATATCATCAGGATATTATTTACTTGATCACTGAGTCTATTAGAAAATGTTTTCACTCATATTCTATCAAAAACATTTTGTGATGAATTTACACTAGAGTTACTAAAAACATAGACGTTAGACATACCAATTAGATCGCAAATATAAAATATATGAACAAATACATTATGATAATTTAATCACCAGGCGCGGTCGTGAGTGTCGTGTATTGTCGATTCCTGCTTGCAAGCTGAGTGTTGTCATCCGCAGGTACCTGATAGTTTGTTGCCGCTGTATTTGGACCTTAACTGGGGTGGTCAGAATGATTTTACAGAGGGGTTTGGATCGCCATTTGGTAAAAGAGTCACCCAGTGATGATGTATATGCGAGAAGGTTAGAAGAATTTCGATATCGAGGAATCGATCCCACCTAGTTTTGCTTTCAAAAACCATATTTCTAGCCGATACACGAAAACATGCTTAGTACTGTTAGAAAAAATGAAATTCAATAATGATCCTTGTAATGAAACTGACTATGTTAATATTGTTAAAACGCGCGTGAACGATGTGATAGAACAATATACTACAAATCCAGATGTCGGAACACATGAAGCACAAGTGATCTTCAATGTCCTGTAAGGGAGAGAAACTTATCCTCAATGTCCTGTAAGGGAGATAAACTTATCCTCAATGTCCTGTAAGGTAGATAGACCTATCTCCAATGTCCTGTAAGGGAGAGAAAACTATCCTCAATGTCATGTAAGGGAGAGAAACCTATCTTCAATGTCCTGTAAGGGAGAGAAACCTATCTCCAATGTCCTGTAAGGGAGAGAAACCTATCTTCAATGTCCTGTAAGGAAGAGAAAACTATCTTCAATGTTATGTAAGGGAGGGAAACCTATCTCCAATTTCCTGTAAGGGAGAGAAACCTATCTCCAATGTCCTGTAAGGGAGAGAAACCTATCTTCAATGTCCTGTAAGGGAGAGAAAAAACATTCAATGCCCTTGAATCACAGTGTNGTCCTGTAAGGGAGAGAAACCTATCTTCAAATTCATGTAAGGCAACTTCAATATTCAATGTCCTGTAAGGGAGAGAAACCTATCTCCAATGTCCTGTAAGGGAGAGAAACCTATCTTCAATGTCCTGTAAGGGAGAGAAACCTATCTCCAATGTCCTGTAAGGGAGAGAAACCTATCTTCAATGTCCTGTAAGGGAGAGAAACCTATCTCCAATGTCCTGTAAGGGAGAGAAACCTATCTTCAATGTCCTGTAAGGGAGAGAAACCTATCTCCAATGTCCTGTAAGGGAGAGAAACCTATCTTCAATGTCCTGTAAGGGAGAGAAACCTATCTCCAATGTCCTGTAAGGGAGAGAAACCTATCTTCAATGTCCTGTAAGGGAGAGAAACCTATCTCCAATGTCCTGTAAGGGAGAGAAACCTATCTTCAATGTCCTGTAAGGGAGAGAAACCTATCTTCAAATTCATGTAAGGCAACAACAATATTCAATGTCCTGTAAGGGAGAGAAAAACATTCAATGTCCTTGAATCAGAGTGCTTAACAAGGCCGATACAATGTATTCGATAATAAAGGTAGCTTAACGTTTGTTATATTCCTACGAACCTAGGCAGTTATCAGTGTATTGAATCGGATAGATTGTGATTTAACTATAACCTGTAACAGTTAGTCAATACTCTTACCTTCATCTACGACCAGTTCTGTCTGGATGACGTTGCGCAATTCAACTTTACTTCCGGGATGGGTTTATATTAAGACATCAGGGCTCACAAGCTTTAAACAGGTTATTTAAATTAATTCCGTATGTATACGGAGTCTTTGTATTTAATAAGTTAAGCGGTAAGTGCGGCCCAGATTCTGCACTGTTCGTAAGCTTATTGTTAACAGTTAAGGAATTCGTAGGCTATTGATGTGATAGGACAAAGCGATCACATTTTTGTCATATTTACCAATCTACTTATTAACAATACTTGTTTTATGAAAGATATCCGCGAAGTTATTGAGCACAATATATGGAAGTGATTCTTAAATAAAATAGGGATATGAGAAGTAACAGTAGTTGTAAACTTGTAGAGCCATGTTCGATACTCCACCTACGTTGTGCAGAGAGTGAAAGTGAGCCTCACCCCTGCAGTATCGAGAAAGGGGTACAGCCGGAGAAATGTAAATACATATTCGCTAATGTCTAGTAAACAAGGGTTAAACAATTAAGTAGTTAAAACAAGTAGTGTACAAGCTGGAATAATTATATTCAATGCATAGTATCATGTTCATTAGTTTTCCACTTTAGTGATAATCAGTCATTACACCACCTTACCTTGGCTTTTACAGAAACAACCGGGACCATGATGGGGGTGATACCGTATAACAGAGAGATGTCTACACTTTGTATAAAGCTGCGATGCGGTTTGTTACGTATGCCTGGCTTTTTACGTGACACGATATAAACAGAAAACGTCTGCAATAGCTAAATTAAAGTTAAAACGATATCCATCAGGAATGGGAAACCCTGTGTTGTTGAATGTTAACTTCCTGTAAGCCTACACGAAATCAGTGTATGTAATCAGTCGAACGTGTAACGTATTGGACCACGATCTACGGTCGGGCGCTCGTTTGTGGGTTTACTTGAAAGAATTTAACTATGGCACAATATGTAAAAAATTGAATGGAGAGTAAGCTAATGATAAACTGTAACAAAGTGATCACCATATCACTTCTTTCTTTAAATTTGCTGAACGTATCAGCATGATAAAAATATTCGAAAGAAATCATAATCAACGGTGTTACGTGTGGTGCAAGAATAGCTTTGTCCCTCTGGACCTCCCGGCTTGTATTCTTTTATTTCACCATTTTCCTCCATCACTACTTTCTATCTTTATTCGTCCTTCAGAGCTGTCTGTCTATATTTGTCCTTCGGAGCTCTCTATTTTTTGCATTTAAAGCTCTCTGCTTTTATTCGTCCTTTGGATCTCTCTATCTTTATTTGTCCTTCGGTGTTCTCTTTCGTTATCCTTCCTTTGGGTCTCTCCATCTTTATTTGTCCTTCGGAGTTCTCTATTGTTATTCGTGTAGTTAAAGGTGTATCAAGGTACTCCTGCAAAATTCTCAGTCAGTATCCGTTTTATGGTGGTTGTTGAAGTATATTTCACATCCGTAGCCCCCAGTCTGTTTAGTCCTCTATTTGTTTAGAGATTGGTGTGTCAATCTATTTCAGAAATTGTCTACTGGTGTGTGTGAGAAACTATCGAGAAAGGGAAAATTTTACGATCAGAAATCAACACATCATGCTAATCAGAATAATAAATAAAAGCATTCACTAATATTAGATGTTCATCACCATCATAAGCAGATGTATACTTGCTTGTAAAAAAAGGGAGGGGGGGGGGGCGGACGAGGGTGTTAGTGAAACAGACAGACAGATAGGCGAGTGGGAGAGAGCGATACATGTCCAGATTTCCCGATATCATTTCAAGATTTCAAGATTTCAAGATTTTATATTCAATCCAGACACACTTTTCGTGTGAAACAGGAGGTCAATCTTCGGATACATTTTATAATGACAGACCAACTGAATGATAGATTGGTGCATTTTAAAGGAAAGGCATACATACAAAGCATACATACTAGAACACGCACCTTTTTGTCTTGTCAAAGGTCTATTTCAATCTCACCTGATTTCAATTGAATAAATACTTTCTATTATAACGACAACTTATACAATTATGCGCACTACTAATAAAAAGCAAACGAGATTTGATGTTCACTCGAGTCTAAGCCTCACTAATGAACGAACATTAGGATCACGACTGTAGAAAAGGAAATTGTTTTCAAAGTAAAAATTCATTCAACATAGATTTCGTACCTTAACCAGAAATACGTGTTTTGTTACGATTAAGTTAGTTGGGTCGATTTTTCTACATGGAATGTTTCCATCATTTGGTTGGACATTTATTGTTTGTACAGATACCATACAACTATTTACTGTTACTGTGCTGCTATTCTGTAAAAGTAGTAAAATCTGTAGAATACCAGGGTGTACAAATGTGACACAATTGATATAACTCGTGGATTTCTGTGAATAGCGAGAATGTTGAGCGTGAACTAAAGCTGGAGATATTTGTATATATTTATGAATTATCCTCACATATATGGATTAAACAATACATGTTTTGTCAATCCTAGAATGGAGTGCATATTTGTGGACAGTTCAATTGAAAAAACGATGTGTTTTATTTACCTTATCATTTTAAATTCATTTTAACGTGAGTCAAGTTGCAAAGGAGCGGCAAATAATGAACATACCATCAAGAAGAGTTATAAATAGATTAGGAAATTCCCAACTGTTCTGCGAACTCACATTGTCGATGATCGACACCGGACGCCCTCTAGAAAAAAATACATCATGTGACAGCAAGTTTGTCTTATTCATCGAATGTCATCAGGATAATGTCTTCGAGTTTCAACCATATGTATTATTCTTTTAACACCGGCGTCAACCTAAAAAGTATTAAGCTGCTATTTTAATGGATCTATCAGAAGCATTTCACAGCCTAACACATGCAGTTCTACTTGAAAAATTATCAGCCTATGGTCTTCCCGTGTATGGCGTCAACACCGGCGTCAACCTACGACCTATACACGTGTATAACTGGTGTTAATGCGATGTTTATTATAATTTAACTGTATACATCAGAAAACATCTAAAAACACTTTATCTATTAAATTGAACAGCCTGTATTATTTTGACGTTTCACATAACTGACATTAAGCTGACAAAGCTATGAACGTTTTTAATACTGGCATTCTTCTCTCTAATAGAGCTCGTGATTGTAATCTGAAGACTTGTTAGCTTGTCAGGCAATGTTTTCCTATTATCGTAGAATAGTCATTGTGTTGCTTATTTAAAAGAACTGTTATGTATGTAANTTCCTATTATCGTAGAATAGTCATTGTGTTGCTTATTTAAAAGAACGGTTAGGTATGTAAAAAGTTTGTATTAGTGAGGTGTGGTCATGAACTGACCTAGTTGGCTCAGAGCCAGTTTCGTGTGACACATATCGCCTGATCCACAGGGATCTGATAATTTTATTGCGTAAAACATTTTAAGTTCAAAGGTAAGTTGTTTTACCTGTATCTGTTGTCCAATTGACACATGTAGTCAATTATCAGATCATATAGGTCCAAAATAAACGTAAGTAAAGTATTTTTTAGCGGTTTAGAACGACTTTCGGTAAAAAAGATACCCACATTGATCATATATTGGGGTGTCATTTTTACCGAAAGTCGATCTTAATCCCTAAAACAATTAAAATTACTCTGACCACCTAAATTTAGGTACAACTATAGCTTTCTCAAATTATCAGGTCTTGAGGCCTGATCTACCCACTCGATCTACCAGTAAAACTAGTTATTGTGCTCTAAACCAGTAACACAAGAAGATTAGTCAATAGACGTCGACAACGCTGAGTTAAGGTCAATATGTAGGCGGCTGAAGTCATCGTTAAATATAAGTTTAATATAGATTCGGAAAATTTAAATCTGAATATAGTTTTTGTCGGTTTATCAAGCATTGATCTTATTGCCGTGAAGGTGTAAGTAACTTAATTGTGTACATTTTCCGAATCTTCAATTGTATAGATAATAAAACGCATTCTGTAGAATATTGTACAATTTATTACTGTTTTATGAAGCTTCGATTTTTTATTAAATTTGATTCCCAACAGAGATTACTATATTAAAAGCTATTTTGTATAAAATTCATATAATAAGACTCTGTTTTAATAGCTATGACATTCAATGAGTTGTCGTTGGTTGTTTTGATTACCTGGTATATAAATAGGTGAAGAGTATGTCAGACAGTGTACCGTAGGATAGAATAGGACGGGTTTTTTCTTGTTTTTGTGTATAAATACTGCATCTTATGTATGTATACTGAAACATGTGTCAATTTAATACAAATACTTTACTTATGTTTATATTGGACCTATATGATCTGATAATTGACTACATGTGTCAATTGGACAACAGATACAGGTAAAGCAACTTACCTTTGAACTTAAAATGTACAGTATCTCTCGTACAAAGAAAATTCAATTATTTTCTCTAATATTTTTACAATGAATTTGACGTTTTAATCATATTTTCTATGCATTTGTGATGCCGATATATTTCTTTATACAAATTCTTTTACCTATACTTTGTTTAGGTATTTTGTGTTTTAACAATACATATATTTGTTTGTTCAACCTGTCTTCAATAACGTAGAGATTTCAGAGATTTTTATTATCACTCAGGCACACTATTGTGCGCAACAAGAGGTCATCATAAAGTACAATATAACAATGATATGGTTTACCGTAAAGCACTCATCTTACTATGCTAGCGTACAATAATATAGTGGAAACTATTACAATCCTCATACAATGATAAACACAATATAACACTGTACTATACTATTATACCTTGTTATAATAAACAATATAACGCACTGCTCATAAAGCATGCAACGTTATATTTTCCCGTCAATATTCATGTCTTCCCGTGTATGGCACGGGCCATTTTCGCTAGCCAAGGGTTACGATCCGGTAGGATCCACCCACTCAGTAGGAGGCAGGAACGCATTTGTTGTTTTTGATAAATTAAACATTATTGAAGACTGGAAATTAGAATTAGATGAAAAAGAAAAAAAGTATTAAGCTGCTATTTTAATGGATCTATCAGAAGCATTTCACAGCCTAACACATGCAATTCTACTTGAAAAATTATCAGCCTATGGTCTTCCCGTGTATGGCGTCAACACCGGCGTCAACCTACGACCTATACACGTGTATAACTGGTGTTAATGCGATGTTTATTATAATATAATTGTATACATCAGAAAGCCTCTAAAAACACTTTATCTATTAAATTGAACAGCCTGTATTATTTGGACGTTTCACAAAACTGACATTAAGCTGACAAAGCTATGAACGTTTTTAATACTGGCATTCTTCTCTCTAATAGAGCTCGTGATTGTAATCTGAAGACGTGTTAGCTTGTCAGGCAATGTTTTCCTATTATCGTAGAATAGTCATTGTGTTGCTTATTTAAAAGAAC